GTAATGATATTTACCTGACATATTTCTGCGCAGGTTACACAGACAATCAAAAAGCCTTCACAGAGAACTCGTCCGCTTTTCCATTGGACTGTCCTCTTGTTATAGATGTTCTTGTCGGCGTAGCAGCTACCGCTTTTTTATTGTCTTTCCTTACCGTCTTTGGAAACTCTTTGGTTGTGATCGCAATCGTAAAGGACCCGTTCAGTGAGCTGAGGACTATTCCAAACTACCTCATCTTGAATCTGGCGGTATGTGACCTAATCGTAGGTATTCCAAGCGAACTGTTACTGGGTTTATCTCACTTTTATGTATCATATGATTTGTACTACGTGGCCTTCACTTCGCTGTATACGTCCATGGTAGCATCTGCCTTGACTATACTAACACTAGCATTTGAGCGATACATCATGGTCGAAGCGCCAATTAAAAGCCAGGAATATCTGATTCACTCACACTTAAGACTGGTCATTGTCTACATATGGCTGATTGCCCTGTGCGTGGCACTGCTTTCTCTTCTGAATAGATGCAACGAGGCAGAGTACAGGCTAATAATCACCGACGCAATCGGATTTCCAGTCATGGCCCTCATGTTTCTTATATACTCACGGATATTTCTCTTGGTGCGAAAATGGATTCGGCAAGATCTCGATCTTTCTATTTCAGAGAGTCAAAGATTGCTAGGCAGAGACAATCTTTCCGAAAACATTCGTACGCGTGAAAGGCACATCGCTTTTTCAGTGTTCCTGTTTGTTAGTGTTTTTGCCCTCTGCTGGACACCATGTTTTGTTATGGAAAATGTATTTTACAAATATAGGAGATCTCCCACTCTGGCAACTGCCGCAGATTGGGTGAGGGTTTCGGGACTGTTGAGTTCATTGTTGAATCCCTTGATTTACGCATTAAGATACGAAAAGTTTAGAAAGGCGATTCGCCACATTTTTGTGTCATATTGGTTTTATCAGACTTACCACTTTCGTTTTCCTTAATTTGTTAAAATATTTTCAAAGTAAGGATAAAACATCTGACGGCTACTTTTTTAGGGATTAGAGGAGCGACAAAACATTATTAAAGGGGCAGGATAACGTTGCTTATTTTGTCATCTACGAGCTTTGAACTACAAATGATGAAAGAAACCTCTTTAAATGTCAAATCACGAGGTACATATATCGTAACAAATATTGATAATCTCGTGAAATGGCATGACCTTTCCGTTTAATCCGCTTATCCACATACAAATTCTCCAGACTGATCTTCATACCTTTCCCTAAAGAATTAGTTGAGAGAATTTGATAAAAGACCAAAGCATAATTTCTTATAGGTGATTTTCATGCAATCTCGGGAGACACAACTAATAATGGTGAAATGAACAAATGCTGGTGGACAAACAAAACGAGCTAATGAGCAATCTTTTGTTTACCGTCCACCAGCATGGCGGCGATGACGTAACGTGAAAACCACCTATTGGTGATCAACAATTACTTCTTGTATAACACAATTTTATCTTAAAAATGTAATTAATTTGGTAGCAGTAGTACAGGAAGGATGAAACTAACCTTTTTTGCAGTGGAATTTCATTAATTTGCGGTGGAATACATTAACGCTGATGACGTCATAGCCTTTTGTCTTTATTTCATGAATAAAATGGGCAGGAATCTCATTAAGATGTGGTCGTGTGCTATTTTTAGTTGGTTTAGGTTTTCTAGTTACTTTAAGGTCGATAAATGTCTTCGTTTTCGAATGGTTAATTAGAAAATGAGAAGCGTTCTCAGCACCGTACTGCGTTGCATCTACTGTGCCATGCTCTATTTTACTGCACTTGAACGTAAAAAGTAACCAAATGATTCAAAGAAGGTCAAACAATTTTAAGCCAAGTATAAAAAAGAGTATCAAGCGTCTTAACTTACATGTATACATTCATCTACGATATATTCTAAGACTCAAGCATTCGAAAATTATGTTGGGGGACTGCTCAGGGGAAGAACTCAGGAATCGGTTGTCAGTACCAAGTTTATTTGATGTTGACAGGTCGGCGTTCTAGTTTCAACTCTACTCTTCCTAGCTAGAACGACGCTAAAGTACAACGCATTCGAATACCCAACAACCTGCCGTGATTGGTCAAAACCTAACAACTATTCAAAAGTCTTTGTGTACATAGAAACAACGGCATCCTTTGAGGGATTAGAACTGTGATTAAGGTTGTGGTAATGAAAACTCGAAGTATCTGTACATTCGGTTATGAAAATTGTATTAATGGGAGCTAACTTCGATCGAACGTATATTGACACCAATCACCAAGTGGTTGCTTGAATTAGTGCACAGTACTTTTCGGAGCTTGATCTGTTTACTCCGATTGCATAATCCAGATGACAAAAGTTTTCTGATAAAAGACGCCGACAGAGATTAGTGAAATTACATTAAAGGTTATTAACTAAAGTGTCCAATGTTCTTGCCGTAAACGGAGTTACGACTCCACAGTTTTTGCTGGCAACAAGGCCAGAATAAGGTTCGACTCTAATAGCTTGTTTACAAATATGTTTTTATATTATCGTATAGTTTGCTCTTAAAGCTATTATCAAACTGTTGCATAACACAAGGCACAACTGTTTATCCAAATAGGCAAAACAACTAATTAGACTGGATTAACTGGAACAAAGATTGTTTACTGCCTAAGAGAAAAAGTAATTAAGTACTTCGGGTCCAAATCGTGTGCGTTACTTAGCGACAGTCCGATCATCACTTTTTTTCGCAAGCTTTCAAGGTCAATCACGTTTTCTTAGTAGTTTCTGATAAACCTGGTACCTTATAACACCCAAAACACGCAAAACATGAAAAGTAATTGAATAAGATAAATGACCAATAAATATTCAAAACACTCGAATGATATAAAATGGACGACTGATAAATAGTAAAACACTCCATCGAAATATAAATTGAACGCGAGTAAAACCATAAAAGTACGAAATTGTATCCTAACACGTTTAGTCTACACTTTTTGGATACAACCGAATTCTTGCTGGAATACAAGATAATTGCAATTTACATTGACATCGCAATTCCACACCAGTGTTCTTCCCCATGCAGAGATCTTCAAAAACCTACCTAAAAGTGAGAAAAAAATTGCGTAACCCTACTTATAACATAAGGGGAGGTTTCCCCTTCTACTACGAAGGTGGGAGTTTTATCTTATTTATACACACGGTATGCTTCTAACGAGCACATTACCAGTCCTTTTGTTATTGAACTGAGCTTCTATCAAACACGCAAAACCGTCGTTTTTTCCCCATACTTTTGCTCATGACGCTTTCTTCATTGCGACTCCTTTTGAAAGTGAAAGTCATTTATTCCTTTCCCCTTAACCTTCTCTCTTCTTCTTCCCTTTAACTTCTCCAGCAGAGCATCAAGTTTTCTCTGCACGCTTTCTAACTTTGTTTCAAGGTTTTGCACGCATTNTTTTTTCGCAAGCTTTCAAGGTCAATCACGTTTTCTTAGTAGTTTCTGATAAACCTGGTACCTTATAACACCCAAAACACGCAAAACATGAAAAGTAATTGAATAAGATAAATGACCAATAAATATTCAAAACACTCGAATGATATAAAATGGACGACTGATAAATAGTAAAACACTCCATCGAAATATAAATTGAACGCGAGTAAAACCATAAAAGTACGAAATTGTATCCTAACACGTTTAGTCTACACTTTTTGGATACAACCGAATTCTTGCTGGAATACAAGATAATTGCAATTTACATTGACATCGCAATTCCACACCAGTGTTCTTCCCCATGCAGAGATCTTCAAAAACCTACCTAAAAGTGAGAAAAAAATTGCGTAACCCTACTTATAACATAAGGGGAGGTTTCCCCTTCTACTACGAAGGTGGGAGTTTTATCTTATTTATACACACGGTATGCTTCTAACGAGCACATTACCAGTCCTTTTGTTATTGAACTGAGCTTCTATCAAACACGCAAAACCGTCGTTTTTTCCCCATACTTTTGCTCATGACGCTTTCTTCATTGCGACTCCTTTTGAAAGTGAAAGTCATTTATTCCTTTCCCCTTAACCTTCTCTCTTCTTCTTCCCTTTAACTTCTCCAGCAGAGCATCAAGTTTTCTCTGCACGCTTTCTAACTTTGTTTCAAGGTTTTGCACGCATTCTAACTTTGTTTCAAGGTTTCTCTCCATGCATTCTAACTTCGTTTGAAGTTTGGATTCGACCACTTTGGTGATGTTCGATGTTAACTCTTGGCCTTGAAAATCAATGTCCTCCCCTGCACACATCTGAGGCAAATATAAAGAAAGACAACCTTAACCACAATACAGTCAAACGTTCCCAGCAAAGAAACAATCAACCTGTGATCAGAACCGCCTTTTGTCTTCTTCAGGGAAGAGGAGAAAAGGGGGATCTGCCTGAATCACGTGAAACTTTTGAGGTCGCTGCAGCCCAAACTTGTGTTCTCACTAGTGACACAGCATTTTATTTTCGAGTGCGAGCATCCGTTTATTCATAATCCGATGGTCATAACCGAGCCCCCTGTACCAAGCGCACAGCTATTAGGCTTGGGGCACAGGGAGCAGAGGAGTTATTTGCGATGGCAAATGAAGCGAAAATTTCTCTTTTTGCCGCTGTTATTCGTCCGCAGTCATAACTTTCAGCAGTTTTCTGCTGGAGCATTGGATAATATTTTACCAGGTTTTTTCGCTCGACGGTTTGAAAGGTCAAGTTCATAACAGAATCTACAGTTGAAAGAGGCCACTCATGCGTTCGGCAGTAAAATTTTCGTTTCAATTGCTATCAAAAATAACTCCTCTGCACCCTGTGCTTGGAGTAGGAACTATATCCTAGCAACATGCCGCGCATGCTCAACAAAGATATCTATTCTTTCTCACCACCACTCCTCCTGTATTTGTTGGATTGGTACGCACCTAAGTATATCATCTTGGTTTGATAACAACAATTTAGATATGAATCTATTCCACGTTTAGAACAAAGTTTCTACCGCGGTAATATTACCTTAGCCAGAACGCTGTTTTCGTATTCAAAGGCCAGGTAGGGGTACAGAGGTCTGTCCACGCTGTATTCAATGTAAGATGGGTTCATATCTTCGGGAATTATCTTGCTTCCGTTTACACTAAAAACAACAGGAATTCGGATTTGACCGTCTATCTCTAGCTTGTCTTTAAACTTGACAGTGCATCGAATGACGTCACCTCGGCGAGCTGCGGTAGAGCCTTATTAAGGGAAAAACAAATAATAATAATAATTAAACTCCTTACCAACCACCAACTGTCTTTACAAATCGAAAGGTTAAAAATCAGACTAATAGGCACTCGTAGTAGTACATCTGAAACATGACAGCCTTTTCTTTTTTTTTTTTTTTTCAGTAAAAACTGTCACGTGGATTAAGTAATGCGAAAATCGATAATAAAAAATGAGCGAAAATAGAACGGACTCATCAAAAACTTTGACTGCAACTTTGTCTTTTCGTCAGCCTTCCGCGTTACACTCTTTAGGACTAACTTATTCATGTAACCCAAAATATTTTCAAGTGCAATACTATGCTTAATTGAATAAAATCATTTTCTTCCATGTTTCTTTCCAGTGTGTCGTACATTTTCCTGTCATCCAATGTAATATTTTGCCGTCGTTAATCAAAATAAAAAATGTACTAGATTACAAACCTATAGTCTTTCTCCCCTGACCGATCGTATCAAATATTTTCCTGTCATCTGTGTGAAATCCAACTGTTCCTTCGGCCCATCCAGGCATCAATTCCGTGTCGTAATCGCCAAACACTACTCCTATCCCCAGCCATCGTGTCTCCCCACTTTCCAGAATCATCACCTTGGAAAGAAACAGTTTTGATTCTGAGCCAAATTTCAACGTTGATAGGTCTGGGAGATCGAGTAGCCAACCTCGGCGGGTGACCCCACGTATCATACATGTAAAATGAGAGATTATATATGGTACTTAAAGCACTTTGTCGGCTGCATTTAAATGATGTTATTGTGAAAATGGTGTATTCTTACCTCAAAATGTGGAAATCTGGGGGAAAAGGGTATCGTGTATCTAGCGCCATGATTCGGATCATAGTCGCGTACATCTGGGTGATGGGTTATAAGGTAACCGTCTACCAGTATAGCTTCATGGGCTTCCCACGCCTGTGAAGTCAACAGAAACACCTTTCTCTTTAACCCCTGTGTTTATTTTATTATGATGATAACTTAAATATTAGCTTACATTTAAGTCTGTAAAGTTATGTTTTCAAGTTTCCTGTGAGTTCTTGAGTTTCCTGAGTGGGTATCATTCTCTTTGAAGCCCTTAAAGATAAGCCAGTGAGGCCGACCACACGCTGTCAAAGATAGACTACCACACCGGGTACTTCGTTTCCCTGTTCCTGAAAGTGTTTAAAAACAGGGTCTGCAGTTTATCGTCGGCCTTATCCGAAAAGACTAGAAAGTCTAACCATTTGAAGATGGCATTTCAAAGGATGCACTTTCACCTCAGTTATTTATTAGTACATGTAATCACTTTGGCGACGGCCTTTTATTAGTGGGAAAAAAACATTTTTTCCCCAAATTTTCCTTTTTCGACCGGTTTTCCTCCAGTACGCAAGGAAATAGCCTAAAATGGGATTTACAACACTTTATTATGACATACTTTACTAATGTAAATTGACTTCCTCGGTTTTTGTTGTGCTTTTTTTTACGAATTTATTTCGATCCCTCAATTGATCATTGTTGTTAAAGTGGAATGGTGATATATTTTTATTAGCTTTTTTGAACCTGACCGTACGCAACGTTTAATAGCATTCCTATCATTTTGAACTTACTGACCAATAGAAACATCGCATTAATTTTTTTTCTGTCACAATTTGTGAACGAAAACATTGTCAAAGGATTGTGCACCGTCAGGGAGCTTCCAATCTAAAGTACAGCACCGTTATTTTCAGATTTGAAACTATGCTTAACTATGCTTTGATAAATTGCCACCTTTTTTTCCTTTTCATTTCTTTTTTTATCTAGTTTTGCTTCTTAGATGATCGTTTTTCCTAAGGCGTTTTGCCCCGCCAACTTTCCAGGAATTGGAGAAATTCAATTTGCAAAGAGTAGTCAGTGAATTGTTTTTGTTTTTTGGTGTGTAACTCGAGGTGGGTTGGTCAGAATTTCCAAAGTGAGTTATCTGTGCAAAGATCGTTGCTCACCAACCTAAACACTTGCACTACCTGGAAGCATAAGTCGTTTAGAAATGGGCGATCTGCATCGTTTCATACGGAACGGAATTGATCCAGGGTTAAAGACCTGAGTTGTGGTCCGGCCAGGGTTTGAGCCCACAGCATACCACTGGGCAGATCGGCACTCACCTAACTGCGTACGTTATCTTAATTCATGAGAAACATATCGAAATCTCCGGCCATTCCTAAGAACACTCATTTGTGCAGTTTCCACTAGATGTAACTGTTAGTAGTACATACACCACAACCTCTACCGAAATGATTTTGGTATCCTTCCCCTGTACATATAAGCTATATGTAAGGAAAGGCTTCTTTGATCGCACCAATATTTGTGTATGTTTGAATACTTTAATTGATTAAGCGTAATTTTCTTGTGTCTAGTGGCTTCATTGCGCTCCTTGTCCGCTTTCGTGCTACCAAGAAACGACCCACAAGAGTCATCGCATCGCTCAACTACATTTGCTCTTCTTCAAACGTAATAAGGTATTGTTAGAGTAAATCGTTTTCGTACCATGTAAGAAAAGTCGCCAAAACTCAAGCAATGCTCTTTTTCTCTCAGTCATCTTTCTGCTAAAACTTACGATCAAAACAATGAAAAACCTCGCCGAGACGGTCAAAAGAATTCTCCTTGATCCCTGGTTTACTTAAAATTCCTTAACAAGACTCGCACTTCTAACGTATTCTTCGTCGTTAGCACTCAAAAATGAGTTTATCAGATGAAAGTGCATCCGTTGCGCTGTTACGCTTAGTAAACAAGTGTTGTCACGGCCACGGACATGCGCAGTACGTTATTCAGCCCTGTCGATTTGCATGTATTTTTTTTTTAGTCACAGTTTTTTGTGCTATTTTTTCCCCCGTTTTTGTCTTTCCCCACCCTGACCACGTTTCAAATAATCAATACTAAAATGGTATAGTTACCTTTGCACCGGTAGGAAGAAGAGCTTTGTCATGACATTTTTGATACGTGAAGGTTCGGTAAAGAATCTGATTAACCATGCTTTCAGTATTCTTTGCATCGTCAAGTATCTGGTCGATTTTATCTGAATATTACATGTAATAAGAAATGTAATCATTTTATGGACCGGCTCCTAATAGTTTCTTTGAAAAGTTACCCCTCGGATGACACGCAAATTCATACCCCCCATAGTGGTACAAGCGGAGGAGGGGGCAAGAATCCCCCCTAGAGTTTTTGATATGTTGCAGTATTTAGAAACGATTTTACCTTCAGTGGAAAGCCTTTGATCTTCTTAAAAAGATGAGGTATATTTAATGGATGGTGGCACTGCTGGAGGCCTGTGACGTTACCAACAATGGTCGCCATCTTGGATTTTACCAAGAATTAGAAATCAAGTTAAAACCGCTAGAAATGGTGATTTTTTGCGCTTGACATGAAAAATAACACATAAATAAGCACTTTGCATGATTTTAGCCACAAGATTTACTTTTATTGTTAAAAGAAGTTGAAAAACCATGTATTTCCACTCAAAATGGTTTGACCACTTGCTACTTATGACGTCATATCTCGTAACCATAGAAACTGATCATCACTGGACCTCACTCAAAATGTGCGCGAGGGATAAACGAACAGCTACTGAAAATGTCAGGTGCTGATGTTTTACCCTCTAGGAAAAAACTCAGAAAACCCTTAGGGATGTGGCAACCTTCCCCCTACCTTGTACGTCCGAGGGTTAAAATAATTTGAATTGAAAAGAAACTATTCCAATTATTGGAATAAGCTGAATTTTCGGGACTCAAATACATTGCACACTCACTTCCTGGAGGAAAGAAATCCCCGTATTTAAGTCTGTACTTGTCCAGTAAAAATTCCAAGACTCCCTGCAGTGAAACAACAATTGAAATTAAGTAAAAGTTGAGCGAGGTTCAACTTTAACGTTTCCGCGTGGCCTTCCATATTTTGCCTAAGTCTATTTTTACCCTTTTCAGACCGGAATCTTTGGCTTGTTGATACAGCCACCAAAATTACACATTTCTAGCATTAATGCATAACTTGACTGAGACAATGACGCATCTTAACGTCCAATTTAAGCTATATAGCTTTCCAACCTATATAGCGTTTAATTGAGTTTTATAAGTAGTAGTGCAAACCAAACTACATTTAAATCACAGATAATGATAATCCTTGCCCTCGAGTCACGGAATCCTCCAGTCGATTCAATTAATTTAATTGATCAAAGAAATTCTAAAAATGCCACCAGTTGTACGGACATTTCGGTGAAAAATTTCCCTCAAATGGTACTGGTATTTTTTTTTTGGCACCGAAAACAGGAACGGAATTGAGTTGTACCATTTACAAAACACCGATAGATTTTCCACTTTCTCTCGGCATTAAGCCTGGCACTGGTAACCCAAACAACTGGTACAGAAAATTTCGGTCTTTTCGGTAAGCATGTGAAAAAGGTAATACCTCGAAAGGTACTCTTTTTTTTCGGAAAATTTCCACCGAGATGAACCGTTCCACTTGAATTTTGCCCGGAATTTCCGGGTTTTCCATACAAATGGTAAGCGCTCACAATTTCGAAACGAATCAAAATAACAAGCCAATTATCCATTCAGCTTACTTTTCCCTCCTTTGCTGACGCGGTATCTTTTTTTCTGCATGTGCAATCCAACCTGACTTGCACGTGATTCGAAGTCGCAGCCAATAAAAATCACACAATTTTTCGGGACGGGCACGGGATAGTAGGGGAAAGTTGAAAGAAACAAAACAAAACAAAAAAAAACAGGACGCTGTGGGAGCGTATATTTGGTCGTCGTTGTACTAGGCGTATGTGAATTTGTTTTTAAAAAAAGTATTTTAAGGACGTGTGAGTGGTGCAGTAGCGTTCTATATTTTACGGGTTGGTTGAGTTATATTGGACGTAGATTGGTAATATAATGTCTGTAGTTTGTTAATCAGTGAAACTGGTTTCTCATAGAATTCGATATGAAGTAACATTTCTTGGAAGGTAAAAGTGATTTCAGGTGTTGAAGTGACGTAGTTGTGGGAGGCTGAGAGTGGTAATTTGATTATGAAGGGATAGTGTAGTTACAGTCTGTTGAAATGAAGAGGTAGTTGCGAAAGATCTTATCAATAGTCGAAAACATGTGCTTATTTTTAATGTTATTAGGCTTTTTGTTTAAGATTCTCTTTCGGCTATTTATGATAATATTTGTATGGAGAGAAAGTGGATAAGAGAAAGTCCATTTAATTTAGAGAAGAGGGTATTAAGGTGTTTGGGGGTGGGTGGGGGAGGGGGGCATAAATTTTGGGTTTGTGGGTTCGGGGGGGGCTTTGAAAACTCGGTGAGGTCAAGAGGTAGGGCATAAAATCTGGCAATAAAGCCAAGGGCCGAGCCAGCTCGGTTAGCTGGGATCCCAGTATTGTGATGCCAGGATTCAGGCTGGAAATTTTCCAAGTAATCACGGGCGCTTTCTATTCAGTCCAAAATTCTGGAAATTTCGGTTAGAAATCAAATGGAACGGACCAATTTTGGTTCGGTCCGACCGGTATATTTGGGACCACCTTTAAAGGTGGTCCACTTTGACCGGTCCAGTCATTTCGGTCGCTCGAACAGAAATATCCCTTTCTATCAACAGCTCATGTAATACCGGGATAAAAGTCACCTCGGCAGAGCTATCCAGCCAGACAAACCGGGTAAGCCAAGCCGAGTTGTACTGTCATGCAGTTTGCACGTGAAAGCTTTGGAATTTGCTGCTTTTGTGATTGGTGTAGGAGAGAAATCGATTTAATCTAATTAACCCAATGGAGTTAAAAATAACTGTCACCTACGCAGTTTGCACATGAAGATGTTGGATTGGGTTTATATGTGGCCACCCATGTCATTCCCCTGATTGAAACAATCCAGTATTTATCATATGCACAATCACGGCATTTTGCGTCATTGCGTGACTTCTTCTCTGTATAATACGCCTGTGTGATTGCGTTTACGCGGGATGTCTTGGTGTAAGTAAGAATTATGTTGAATGGCGTTGGAAAGGTGAGTACTGTATCAACAACATATGTGTGCAGGAGAGAGGGAGATGTTCAGTATTATAAGTGTAAAAGGATATAAAGAGCAAAAAGACATCATCAGAATAAAGTAGGCTCGAAGACTTTCAAGAATAGGTGCAGTTACAGGGGACACTTTTACCATGGTAAATGACCCTTTTACAGCGGGAAATTGGCGTGGTGCGTGTGACCGGACTTTCATAAGATAAATTTACCATGCTGGGAAATATCCATACCCAAGGGAGAGAAGCCAATGAGGTTTTTCATTTGACTTCAATATGAAACCGTCCAAAAATGTTTTTCTTCTTTTTTTTAACGAGATTCTTTCGCACTGTTAAGAGAAGGATCGATGTTTATATGGCAGACTTCACGTTAAGATGAGGGAAAATTGAACTGGTTTGTTGGGCTAGATTTAGGAACGATATTTCCCAAAAANTGTGTGTGTGTGTGTGTTGTATTACAAATTTATATTGTATATCAGTAGAGGAGCACCCAATAAAGCTGTGAAAAAAAAATTATCAATCAATTTAACCGCTGTCATAGTTAAGTGTAACAAATCCTGTGTCCACTGCCAATGTCAAAATGTAATGTTAGTTACAGTAGCTTGTTAAACAACTCATCTGTTGCTGAAACCACTGTCAGTACCCTGATCTGCATACTCTGAGCTGCTCGTCTCTGCAAGTCCATTTTTTTTTTTTGCTTTGGAAGTCCCCTCTTCCATGCGTAAAGCCACGGCACTTGCTGTAAATACTTTTTACTAGTTTTTCCCTCTCTTGATCCAGCGTTTCCTCTTTTTGCAGGGGGGAACTGTACAAATTAATGCACAGCCTGAAATGAAATGGGAACTTGAATTGAAAAAATTATCTCAGAAACTGTTTTAATGCATTTATATCATTTAATTTCCCTGCAGGTGTACAACCAGAACCTCTCCAACAAGAGTACAGATGTATTCAACTATTAAACCACTGCAGCACTATGTAATATGTACACAGCTAAAGTGGGAATAAGTGTGATACACTCATTATAATTTTTATGACAATAAAGTTCTGTCCTTTGCATGTGCACTGTTACTTATTTACATTGCAACAGTTTTCAGTGTATACAATGTTTCAAGCTGCGGGGTAGAAAATCTCAAAACCTGTGAACAGGGCATTTTTCACAGGGTCAGAACCTGTGAGAAACCCTGTGAAATTGAAGTTTGCCTGGCAACTAGGCTTTGATAGATTGTGCTAGCATAATTTTAAGCATAATTCAGCAAAACGAGCATTATTTTCAGCTTTTATTTCAGTTTAGCACTGCTGGCATAATCCGAGCTTTTATGCGTTGAAAACAAAAAAAACCCATCCTAGCTCTAGAATAATTCAGTTTGCATTTTATTTCTGTATTGTTTTTGGAAAATATTGAGGTCTGTGCTAAGGCCCATGGTCAAATATGGTCCGGCAGGCGGCAGAGGTGACCCTTTGCATAAGACTGAGACTCAGGCCACCACGCTTATGGCTCGGAGGCTCGGCCTCTCAGATGGCGTCGTCCTCGGGTACATTCCCTTCCACCACTTCCAGTGCCGTACCGAGAGCTTTAATCTCTAGAGAACGAGTTCCTAAAAGTAATACCGGAAAGTACAAGGAAATAGGTAACTCAGATCCAAAGAACATGAGTCCTCGTGATCGAATCGAAGAATTCCTAGGGGAAAATTTGTGTCTTCGAGGTGGAAAACTGTTTTTCAATGGGTGTAAGGAGATATTGAGCTCTAAAAAGAGCATTCTTAAAAACCATTGGCTTCCAAAAAACATGCCGCAGGCAAAGAGAAGTTAATAGTGACAAAAAAGCGAGATCATGTACGCACATGCATATTTGCCACGCTAAAGACTGTAAGACTGAAAGGTGGACTATATGAATAATAATAATAATAATAATGTTTATTTCTTATATTGCGCAGTCTAGCATGCGATAAAGATATGATCGAGTGCGCATTACAACACTAAAATCTTAAAGTAATAAATGGCACATTTACAAAACACCGATAGATTTTCCACTTTCTCTCGGCATTAAGCCTGGCACTGGTAACCCAAACAACTGGTACAGAAAATTTCGGTCTTTTCGGTAAGCATGTGAAAAAGGTAATACCTCGAAAGGTACTCTTTTTTTTCGGAAAATTTCCACCGAGATGAACCGTTCCACTTGAATTTTGCCCGGAATTTCCGGGTTTTCCATACAAATGGTAAGCGCTCACAATTTCGAAACGAATCAAAATAACAAGCCAATTATCCATTCAGCTTACTTTTCCCTCCTTTGCTGACGCGGTATCTTTTTTTCTGCATGTGCAATCCAACCTGACTTGCACGTGATTCGAAGTCGCAGCCAATAAAAATCACACAATTTTTCGGGACGGGCACGGGATAGTAGGGGAAAGTTGAAAGAAACAAAACAAAACAAAAAAAAACAGGACGCTGTGGGAGCGTATATTTGGTCGTCGTTGTACTAGGCGTATGTGAATTTGTTTTTAAAAAAAGTATTTTAAGGACGTGTGAGTGGTGCAGTAGCGTTCTATATTTTACGGGTTGGTTGAGTTATATTGGACGTAGATTGGTAATATAATGTCTGTAGTTTGTTAATCAGTGAAACTGGTTTCTCATAGAATTCGATATGAAGTAACATTTCTTGGAAGGTAAAAGTGATTTCAGGTGTTGAAGTGACGTAGTTGTGGGAGGCTGAGAGTGGTAATTTGATTATGAAGGGATAGTGTAGTTACAGTCTGTTGAAATGAAGAGGTAGTTGCGAAAGATCTTATCAATAGTCGAAAACATGTGCTTATTTTTAATGTTATTAGGCTTTT